GAGTCAAAGACTATTTTCTTTCAACTTCTTTTGCAATATGTGGGGGATTGTTATAATATATTAATATTATATTATTGCAAAAGTTAATGTGTGCTTTAAAACCATTAAATGGTGAGCTTTATTGTTTGGAACGTTGCCACCCAACGTTCATTTTCTTTCAAATGTTAAAAATTGTTTTAATTAAATCATTTATGGGTTTTAATTTCCTTTTATTTTATTGATTCTTTCCAGCTCTATAAATAGGGAGCTCCTCCTCCATTCTAAGACACACCAAAATTCATTCTCTTTCATTTTCTTTTTTCTGAATTTCTTTCTTCGGCTCTTTCTCTCTTCTAAAATTATTCTGGGTTATTCTTGTACTTTGTTAAAGAGTTACTTGCTAGTTCTGAGATCCTCAGACATTCTGAGAAGTTCCTGTTGTATCCTGGGGGACTTGCGCAACACTCCGCGGATAAGTCCTTAAGGACATTGACTCTACACGCCTCAGGAAATACTATTTTGTCAGCTTTCCAACATTAATATCACTACATCAAAAACATTTCAGACTAAACAGAAATTAATTACTGGTTCAACTATGCACTCAAGGCCATGAACCAGGCATGTCCAAACAGAATTTCTTTGCATATATTAGATTATAAAAACGAAACCAGATTTAAATGATGTTGTACTAAAACGTTCTGCAGATCCTTTTTAGTTTTCATTAATTAAGCTACTCGTTTTAGGAATTATCATGTTGTTCATGGATTCAAGATGACGGAGAACAATAGCACTGCATCTTAGCCGAAAAGAAGTCTAACCCTCCAGTAAAAAATAAAACCAGAAAAATCTGCACTAAAAGGGAAGTTTATGGATGAGAGAGTAAGATGTCCCACCCATGTGACAATTAAGATGCAACTTTAAATAACTTAAAGTGTTGCACGTGGATGTATTAATTGATCGTTTGGTTTGTTATACATTCATTCAATATGAATCATCACCGTCAAAAGGGTGTGTAGAGTGAAGATTAGTTCAATTAAAATAACATGTTCAATAAAAAATTAAAAGGGTACAAATCTGTCCTACCCTTATGAAAATGACAAAATTTTGTACGAGGCAAAAGAATAAAGCTGCTCTTAATCGACACAAGTTCGAACCATATTATGCACAATGTTCACTTATTTTAGTTCACTCCTCCAGTTTTCTTTGTTAATTTTGGCTTAGTTTCAATTAAGGAGGAAGACACCCTTTTAATCTTGTAATTCAGCCGCCTAAATAATGACGGTTGTGTCCCATTTCAAAGTCCTGCATATCTTTTGGTTACTTCTGAGAAAAATTTGTTGTGTGAAACCAAAAACGTCAAGGTTTGAAAAGGAAGACAACAAATTCTGTATGTGGAAAAAGAAAAAATAGTCCAAGGGTGTGGGAAAAGAGAGAAAACACGTTTATGGAAGGCGAAAAATGGGAAGTTACGTGTTTTTTTTAACTAAAAGGGATCACTTGCATTAAAAATCATATACGGTATTCGATTGGATAGTCTGACTTAATAAAAAAAATACCTATTCATACCCTGGATACATAACAGACTAAATAAAATAATAAAATCATATTCTTATTACTTAAACATCAAACTATTTATCCTATTACAAGAAATTCTTGCTAACTGAGTTATACATCACTTGTGAAAAAAAAGAAATATTTATCTTATTTATTTTGGAGTCTATAGTCATGCTATTTGTATGATGTTATGATCTTTGGGTTTGTTGCTGTGTTATTTTTGTATGATGTTATATTGTGTGTTTGCTTAATTGATTGAGCTGTTTGTTATGATTGTTTAGCAGTATGTGTGTTTAGTCAAACTATTTGTGATGATTGTTGAGTAATCTCAAAAAGAAAATTAAAGCTAACTCAATAACAATTCTCGTGTAAATAACATATAAGCACATATAATTACGAATTATAAAAAACAAACAATATGACATATATCAAACATGTCCAAAAAAACACATTAAACATAAAAAAATACTTTAATACAAATATATAAAAAAATATATAAAAGAGAAATTTAAATTTTTATGAACTTGAGAGCGTGAAACTAGTTGTAACCGAGCTTCAAATGTTTAGAGAATGACATGGGTGATGATAATAGGGGCGGCAAGGAGATTGAGGGAAGAGAAGATAATTTGTAATGGAACAACAAATAATGGTGACCAAATACAGAACGAAAAGGGTTAAGTGATGAGTAAAAAATAGGAAATTGAGGAGTGGAACGAAAACAGTAATCAATGTATATTACCTAATTCAAACAAGTTAAGGAAGCAAGACCCCTCAATTAAATTGTTTGTTAATAAAATTTGTGATGATGGATAATGAAATAAAGTTAATAACTTTTCTTTAATGAAATACATTTATTAGGTTATTTAGTGATAAACATTGTGTATTATTTCATCTCGATTTGACACAAATACTGCCATTTATAATTAACTGTTATTTATAATTAACTCGCAACTAAATATAATAATGTAAAGAAATATTTTTAAAACGACTATTCAAAATTAAAACATTACAGAGTTACTTAATTAGTCCCCCCTTTTAAATTTAGAAGGTATAATACTATATTTGGGTTCATAAAAACACATTTATTACGAAACAACTAAATTCGGTCCTTGGCAGGATAGTAAATGGTGTTCGTTTTATTTTCCTACAAAGCCCTCTTAGATATCCATCTGCTGAACATGTCAAAACATTCTTTCGATTTGTACATCGGAGCTGTGTGTCCCGCACCCTGAAATTATTGGATTAAAAAATAATAAAACAAAAAACTACCAAAGATTTACACACACACGTGAGCCACAAGTGTAACAAGGAGAATGAGATACTTGCCTTCACAGTTGCAAATGTCATTTGATTAGAGTAAGTCCTTGTGTATCTACATGTAGTAATAAAACACTAACATTAAGTGCAATATTTAATTATGTTTTAATATATATTAAGCATGGTTAAATATAACTACATTCTTGCTCTGCATGGTATTGTTGGAAGACAATAACCTAAGAGATATGATTCAAATTGTGGTAAGAAAAAAAATAAAATTATACCCTCCAACTTGTCCATTTGAATTCCATGGCCTCCAATCATCAACAATAGAGTAGTTTAAAGATCTTATCCATTCTTGAGTTCCCAAGAAAGGAACCACCATGTCATGATCGCCACTGTTATTTGACACAAGAAATTTGAATTATATATAGTTAATTTGTTGTATAGTTTTACCTTATGCAACATGAGAGCATAGAGAAAGAACATTGACCTGTATATTAATGAACGATAGCCTTTTCTACTAAGATTTGCGTGGTATTCAATGCTGCTTGAAATATCGGACTTGAAACCTTCATCATGATTACAACGAATCCATGTTCCTATACTTCCCTGCAATGCATGCATTTGTAATTGTTATATAATGTAGTAAGCATGTGTAAAGGAAAATGAAAAGCAGTGAGTTGTATGAACTCACCTTGCGAACATTAAGTGCAGTTCGAACATTATCATCATTTGCCCAATAAGCAGATAGGAATGATGTATAAGTCTAATAATGGAAAGGAAACAAACATCATTTCCAAATACATGGGAAGGAAAAACAGTAATTAGAGAACATCTGTCATTCAATTAAAGCATGAACATTACCGGACATGTTACGTCTGGCAATTTGAGATCAGTTTTCAAGAAATGCTTGCCAGGAAATTTCTCAATTAGGGATCTTCTCAAAGGAGGTGTAGAATGATCGAACTCACACAACGGTTCCAAAATATTGTAATGAGAAAGTCCTGATACAAGCTGTGGCATTGGAATTCTTAAATTGGATACAATTTTCTAAGAGTTAGAAGAAAACAAAAGTCTAGAAACATAGATTCTCATCTAACCATAAGTAATAGATAAATCTAGAAATTGCAACTATATAATTCTAGATAGTTCTAAAAGTTAAGAAAATCTAAAATTGTAAACTGATCCAACATATATAAAATAGAAAATACATGAAAAGTAATATAATTTTCTAACCTACCTCAATTGTCCTAGATTTGGTACATTGTTACTAAAACAATCTCTTAAACTATCATAACAAAACAATTAACGTTTACTATTTTCTCTAAAATTCTAAGTATGGTAACAAAATTAGTTTGTTTATTTATAGGACATAGAAAATATTTTAGAAACAACAATAATTCTAAAAGTTTCTCAAAATCCAATCAAGACGAAGATTTTCAATGTGATATTTGCAACAAAGTCAAATAACTTAGAAAGGGATTGTTACATTAGTGCAGTAAAGGAAAACGACATCGGTTATTTTTGTTTATACGCATCGGTTCCTGAACCGAGGTATATACAGGCGAGGAAAAAACAGGTAGTCGTTTTGCCTCAGTTCTGAACCGAGGTAGTATGTGGGGGTCTTTTTCCTCGATTGGTTTCAAACCGAGGTGGTAGATGCCTTTATTTTATTTTTATTTTTTTTTCAAAAAATGGGGACTTTTGTTTTTCAAAATATTTTCTTTTCCTTTTTTATCTAGGACAACGGAGGCGGCGACGAAATAGCCAAAGACAGCGAGGAACGACCGAAGGCAATGACGAACGGCCGAAGACAGCGAAGAATGCCCAAAGACGGGACGAATAGCTGATGGCAACGACTTACGACCAAAGGCGACAATGAACAACGTAGTTCACGCTAGAGAAGTAGAGGCAGCGACGACGACCAACAGTGGAGGCAACGACGACGACCGATGGTGGAGGCAGCAACGGCGGAGCTAGTTGAGGATGGTGAGTTTGAGGTTAAGTTTGTTTGGTGGGAGTTGACGATGGTGGTGGTGAGAAGGTTGTGGAAGGGGAGAATGAAAGCGGAGAATGAAAGGTTTGAAATTTAAAAATTGAAGAAGTTATTACCTCGTTTAAGTAGACAACTGAGGTAATAAGACTCTACTGCCTCAATTCTAAACACAACTGATGCGTAAACCTTTCAAAAAAATTCAAAAAAAATTATAAATGGCAAAATTTAAAGATATTTCTAAATATAGGCATCGGTTCGCGGTTAAACCGAGGCATAAAAGCCTTATGACATCGGTTCAAATGGAACCGAGGCAGTAGAGGTTGACAAAATTGATTTGAAACATTCAGATACAGAGGTTGTTAGCTTTTGGCAAGACATACTGCCTCGGTTCTGCACAGAACCGAGGCAGTAGGCCTATTTTGAAAAGGCTGACAGGTGAAAAGGTTGATTTACAAAGGAAAAACAGAGTTTTTTTGCCTCGGTTGGTCAGAGAACCGAGACAATATACCCCTTAGGCATTGGTTCCAATTGAACCGAGGCATATAGTTTCGCAAAAATTATGAAATTGACACCGCGTTTTGATACGCTTCGGTTTTTTTTGAAATCGAAGTGTAATGTGCGAGTTAAAAACCTCTTTTTTTTACTAGTGTTAGTATCACAAAGAAACACAAATGTTAGTACTGTAACAAATTTAGTTCTTACAAAAAAAATAAAGATAAAAGAATTTCATCAAAGAACATGATTGTGAACAACACATTTTATGCTATATGAGATTTCACAGGAAAAAAATAAGTGAAAGTTGGTACTTCAAACCAAATTCAATAATCGCATTATCAAATACATGATCATATTTAAAAATATTGATGGTTCTATCGGTTAAATATATTATTGTTATTTTATATTTATTTTTTATCTTTTGTTAGTTTGTTATTATTTCTTATTTGTATTTTGAACTTAATCCATATTTCTTCTATTATAAATAAAGGATTTTATACTAAAGATAAAAGATAAATATAAAATAAATATAATATATCTAACACTATCAAAGCGAAAGTTGAATTGAGGAACACTGCTCTAGTGGAGTTAAAAGGTAAAGTCATTGTTATTGTGGAGATAAAGAAAGGTATAAAGACTCATCAAAGAAGTCTTTCTAGTTCTAAATCTTAAAAGATTCTCTTGAGCACTGACTAATCATGAAACAATGTTACACTCTTCACTTTAATGGAGATACATGTGTAAGATACAATAATAAAATATGAGAGATAGGTGAAATTAAAATGGAAAAAATAAATATAAGCTTTTATAGGTAATTCCATGAAAGTCTGTGAAATTAAAATGGAAAAAATAAATATAAGCTTTTATAGGTAATTCCATGAAAGTCTCACCATTGAATGACATCAAGATTTGATCGTGTCAACACTCAAATTTTGAAGTTATTAGACATGATGATAGGTTTACCATACCTAAATGAAAATATGAAATTAGCAAAAGATATCTTATGGGAAGCAATACGTATTACCATTTTCAATAAATACATCATGGAGAGCAAAAGACCTTTTAGAAGTACCATAACTAACTAACAAGTACATTTTCCTTTTTACTAATTAGTTTTTTAAAATGACTTCGATGTACAAAGATTAGAAGTTTTTAGAATATTCAAGAAGTTTAAAGCTCTCATCGAAAAACGACGTGGTAAACATATACAAAATTTTAAGAATTGTTGAGGCAAAAAAAATAACTCACATTAGTTCAATAAGTTTCGTGAGGATGAAAGAATTGAACGACAACATACAAGTACATGTTCTTCACAATAAAATACTTTTAAGAAAGGATAAATTGCACAGTCGTGAAGATCTTCAAAGAATCTCTTGAGCATTAACAAATGATGAAGAAATGTTACACTTTTCATTTAAATGAAGATACATGTGTAAGATATAATAATAATAAGATGAGGTATATGTGAAGTTAAAATGGAGAAAAGAATCATAAGTTAAAATTGAATATAGCATCAAGCAAGTTCCTTGATCCTAGTACAACAAAATTGATGGCTACATCATCAAATCAAGGATTTAGGATGAGAAAAAAATGAGTCAACTCTATACATTAGAACTTAAGAGGTATGATGTTCTTATTATATTTGTATAAGTATATCTTATCTACATAGAAAACAATATGATGATGGAACTAAAAAAATGATGAAAATTTTTTAGATAATCAACCTTAACTTGATGAATTACTTCCTCAACATAAAGAGGTAAGATATCAAAAAGAAAGAATGTTTACCTCTCAAAATAAATATATTGAGACTTCACTAAAGAAGTTCAAGATGCATGGTAAAAAGTTTGTTGTTACTCCATTAGTGACAAATGAAAAGATGCAAAAAGATGATAGAGCATAAGAAGTTGATTAGAGGTGTTTAATCGAAAACTTATTATATCTCACAATCAAAACAATCAAAAGTCAAATATTATGTAAGTTAGAAGTCTTTTATTAAGGTTGATGTAAATCAAGTACACTTTGGAGCAATATTTAAGATATCCCTAAGATATCAAAAAGAAAGGCATTACCGACGGTCCTACTCCGTTGGAAACAACCAAAAGATCATCGGTTATACCTATTATCGACATATTAGCGACGGTCAATTTTTCGTCGGTAAATCGTTTGTCGCTAACAATTACCGACGACTTTTATCTTTCTGTAATTACCAAAAGACAAAGACCTTCGATAATTATCGAAAGGCTAAAGCCTTCGATAGTTACCGAAGGGCAAAGGCCTTTGGTAATTACCTTCCGCAACATAGTTTAGTATATAATACAAATTCATGACAAACTAAAGACTAGTCAATTGAACTAATAGTGATTGGTTGACATGAAGTGAAGATCTAGTTATACCTTCTCACTTGGATTTGGATTCTTTTTCATAAACATAAAAAATCAATAGCTAAAACAATTTACATGACAATTATAAAAATTACAAATCAATCAACAAGACGTGAAAGAATACTTAAAGAAATGAAAGAACAACAAAATAACTTATTATCATATGATAACGAGCCAGCTATGACAATAAAAAAAATAATTCATTACATCATCAAGAAACAAATCATATATTTATTAAATATCACTTCTCATAGGAGTACAATCAAACAAACAAATTCAAACTATAGGACAAAAAAACTGAGTTGAAAACATATTCACCGAGGTATCATCCAAAGTCAAGTTTATATAATTTATGCTTGAAGTCGTCTAAATTTGCATTAAGTAATATTAAATTTGATACATAGTTCTAGAAGTTACATGAAAAAAACATCTAAAAATAAAGATATTATGCTAGAAAGACAAATAATAGGTAAAACCTTAAAATTGTAACGTTAAGATAGTTACAAATAAGAAAATGTAAAATCATCTAAAAAAATTGTAGAATTAGTGGCTCAAGTATATAAATAGGTAAAGCCACTTTTTGTAACATACATGAAAGATCAATATAAACTCCTCCAGATTAATAATTATATCCAAAACTATCTTCTATAACTTATATTTACTACATTACTATTCACTCAACTAAACATGTCTAACATAACAACTACCTTTTTTTTCTCTTCAAATTTTAACCGAAATAATAGTTGACCTTAGGATTTTTTATTATTTCACAAAAAATTATACTCACCAAAATTTTATAAGAAAATAATAAATAAATAAAAAAGAAGGAGAGTGTTTACCTTATGGAATGAGTCCATATCTTTATAGCATAATACATTTTCGGAGTCCACATCGACGTAGTTTCCTTTACAATTTTTTTGTAGAGACTGTTCATAAAATAAGAAAATTCCTTAGTATTTGATTTTCTTATTAGTACAATACTTAAAATTAGAAATTAAAATAGAAATATCATGAATTAAAATAAAATAAAATCACCTCAAATAGTTCATCAGAAATAAGTGCCATTCCATGAGCAAAAGGGATTGCATAGTTTCCGTCCCTTCTAGTTGTCATCGGATTCCCCAAAAGGTACCCCTAAAGAAAATAAAAACGCTTCATTATCAGAAAATAAGTTGTTATATAAAAATTTATTTGATGCCACCTTTTATTATTAAAAATAAATATTTTCTTTTTCATTTGTTATGCAATTCCATTTTTAGCTTTTGCTAAGAATCTTATTTTCAGGTTTTTCATGATGCATTCTACTATATTACAACAAAGAGCATCTATGGAATTTTGTTATTATAAAAAAGGACAAGTTCTTGAGAATAAAATAAAGATATTATATATATATATATATATATATATATATATATATATATATATATATATATATATATATATATANAGGATTTACTCTTTCTAACTTGTCTCCATCTTTTCATTTTAATCATCACAAAAAATCAATACACTCATAGATTAGGACAAAATTACAACAATAAAAGTTGTAATTATATACAATAAATAATAGAGACTGAAACACACAATAGAAATTAGAGATTGAGTGAGTGACTATAAAAGCTCTAATTAGGTTTAAACAAAAATTAAAGTTCTTCAATTTTACACTATCACAATCCAAAGATTAGAAACTCTAAAAATAAAATAAAATAAAATTATTCTCACTTGACTTTTCTTATTATACATATTGAATATATATATATATATATATATATATATATATATATATGTATGGGTTTGTTAACGCGCGTACGTCTGTTTTTTAGTTTGTATATTTTAACCATGTGTACTGGGTTTTAGTAGACAAAAATACATTTATATATTATAAATTTTAAGTTTTAAGGTTAATGGTATTTTAATAATAAGTTATATATATATTCAAACAAAGTTTTAAATTTGTACTTTTTAAAAAATATTGATATTGATAAGGTTGGTAGATTCTTCATTACCTTTATTTATTGATTTGACATGTTCTATTGAAAATTAAGTGTAAACTAATTTTTTATCTTGTTATTCTTGACTATGAAGATATTTTTTTTTTTGTTTATAATATTTTGAATCTCCATTTTAGTTTAACTTTTTCTAGTTTCATCATAGTCGAAAGAAACTCTTAATTTTTCTCATATATATCAGTATAATAAAATCATTAAATAGAAATCAATTTTAGATTAAAAATAATTAATCATTATATTGCCTACTTAAATATCATTTTATAAACCAAATAAAAATCAAATAAAAAAATAATTAATCACTAAATTGACTAACTTTAAAAACATTGCTTATGACATGAAAGTGAAAGAAAGTAACATATTAACTTTTTATAAAGAAAGTGTTTTCTTTTTAAAATTATTCTTTTTAATATTTTTTATCTGTTATTCTTGATTATGAAGATTTTTTTTGTTTATATTATTTTGAATCTTCATTTTAGTTTAAAATTTTCTAGTCTTACAGTTGAAATAAACTTTTAATTTATTTTCATAACACTACAATAAATTCCTTAAATAATAAAATCATTAAATAGAAATCAATTTTAGATAAAAAGAATTAGTCCTTATATTAAGTAATTTAATATTATTTATAAATTAAAAGTTTTTAATATCTAAAATAGTCTCTATCATAAACAAAAAAATTATAATTAACTGTGATAATCTAAATTGATTTCTAATATTACTTACCAAAATTTTAACTATTAAAAAATTAGTGTCTAAATGAGTCTCTAGCTAAAATCTTTGATAACTAATATTAAAAATTAATTTAACTTTAATTTACTAATTAATTATAATTTTTTTCATAATAGAAACTATAAATACTAAAATTTTAAATTTATAAAATAATAATTTATTGAATAAGTATTTTGATTTGAAAAATTAATTATTATTTAATGTTTATTAACACCATAGAAAATAGATACATTTTTCTCGGATTAGTTTTCTATGTTAAGATATGTCAAATATTTTGTTAGCTATAATTTAAACATTGTTATAATTTGTGCAGATGTCATTCTTTTAATAAATGAGGAAACATATAATCCTTGTATGATATATATGGTATACTAATCTTTGAACTAAGACATCAGAGTTATTTTTTAAACCTTTTTATAATGTATCAGATCCAAACACTGATATCCTCTATAATATAGAAATCAATACTTTTTTTTTTCACTGAATTATTTTGATGGCTCCTTCCGATAAAAATCAATTATAGAAACATACTCTGGGACTTTCGTGGCTTCCAAGAGTCATATTTCTACTATTTCCAGATTTGTGACCAAGTTAGGTATATCTAACTCTGCCCTTAATCTTTCTACTGATTATATGACTTGTGATCCTCATAAATTTACTAATGTTTCTCCTAATTGTTCTAAAATTGTTATTATAATGCCAATGGAGGCTCATCTCCTATTGAAAGTGTAGGTACTATGTTTTTTTCACCCTCCTTATCGATTCCTGATGTTTTAGTTGTTCCTACACTATAACTTTATCTCCGTCAACAAGTTAATCAAATTGGATTCTTGTGTTGCCTTGTTTTACCCAACTCATTGTCTTTTTCAGAACATTCATTCCAATGAGAAGATTGTGAGTGGTTGAGAGAGTGAAGGATTGTGTTATCTTTAAAATATCTTACAGCAAACCCATAAAAGAGCATTGGTTTGTCTTGCAAATGATCACATACAAGATAAAATCAAAAAGGAAATTTGGTTATGGCATAGATGGTTGGGACATCCCTCTTTTGGTTATTTAAAAAAAATATTTCCATCATTATTTCATAAATGCAATATTTCTGAATTTCTTTGCGAAACTTGTGTTATGGCAAAAGGTCACCATGTTGTGTTTCCTTTAAGAAATAAAAAAAAAAACTTATTTTCCTTTTTCATTAGTTCACACAGATGTTTGGGGCCCTGCCTCATAATCTACACATAATAGAAAAAAATGGTTTATCAGTTTTGTTGATGATTGTACTAGGGTAACCTGATTGTTTTTTCTTAAACATAAAAGTGATGTGGTTTGTTCCTTCCATCATATGATTGTTACACAATTTAACACATCTATTAAGGTCATTCGATCAGACAATGGAGGGAAATATTTTAAGACTGAATTAATAAAGTTCATGAACTTTAAAGGCATCTTTCATCAAACTACATGTCCTTATTCACCACAACAAAATGGAGTGGCTGAGACGAAAAATAGACATATATTAGAGGTGACAAGATCACTTTTGATAGATGGTAATGTCCCATCTCATTTATGGGGTGAGGTTGTGAGCTCTACAATTTATTTAATTAATCGAACCCCTTCTAGTGTGCTTAACTTTCGAAGGTCTTTAGATGTGTTGTCTGATCATTGTATCATTCCTTCCATAGTTTATTTACCCCTTTATGTTTTTGAATGTGTTATATATGTTCACTTACACCCACATCAACATACAAAGCTTGAAGAATGAGTTATCAAATGTGGTTTTGTTGGGTATGAATCAACTCAAAAAGGTTATCGTGCTTACTATCCATCATCAAAGAAATTTTATATCTTTATGGATGTGGCATTTAATGAGTATAAGTTTTTTTATGTTGATTCTACACTTCATGGGGCAATGAAAGTAAAGCACATAATCATGATGTTAGTATGCTTGATATCTCAAATATAAAGTTATATTGTGAAGACAAATTATCGTGTGAGGATGATTCTATAGGAAGTGAATCAATCCTAAATATGGACACTTCTTTTATTCATAATACAATGTCTTATGATCATAACCAATTGACTTAATTTTCTCCACAGGTTCGGCTTGACTCTTTAGAGGTATCTTCTGATACTATCTCTAACAATACTAATGTAAATGAAACTAATCATGAACTTGTTTCTCTTGATCCTACCTTTGATAATACTAATTTAGATGAAATCGATCATGAAATCGATTCTTGTCTGCGTGAGACCACCAGCACACCAAACATTGAGTCTACTACTCTTCAATATAATCTTCCACCCCATTCTAACTATGGCCAACCTCCAGCTAAATATGAACCAGACCTTCAAGCCAAAGCTAAATATCCCATTAGTAAATATATATCATCTCACAGGTTATCCCAGTCATATCCATTATTTGTATCTCAATTATCTTCAATTTCTATTCCTAGTAATATAAAGGAAGCTTTGGGAGATCCTAGATGGACCAAATCAATGGTTGATGAGATGACAACTTTAGAAAGAAACAACACTTGGGATCTTGTGTCCTTATCAAGAGAAAAGAAAATTGTGGGCTACAAATGATTATTTACAATTAAGCATAACGCTGATGGAACTATTGAGAGGTATAAAGCATGACTTATGGCTAAAGGTTATTCTCAGTCTTATGGTGTAGATTATCAAAAGATGTTCGCACCATTAGTCAAGCTCAACACTGTGAGAATGATTATGTCACTAGCAGCAAAACAAGATTGACCTCTTCTACAATTTAATGTGAAAAATGTTTTCCTACATGGAGAAATTTTAGAAGAAATTTATATGGATTCTCCACCAAGCATAACAAATTCAATTGGAATGAAAGTTTACAAATTAAAGAAAGTTCTATATGGATTACTAAGTCTATGAAGGCTTTGGCTATAGAGCAAGTAACTTTGATTAAAGCTTATTTTTTAAGAGAGGAAAAGGAAAAATTATAGCTTTGATTATATATGTAGATGACATGATTGTTAGAAGAAATGAACAAAATGAGATTTCTAATTTACAATAATACTTTGCATCTAAATTTGAGATGAAACAACTTGGAAACCTTAAATATTTTTTGGATATTGAAGTAGCTAGATCAAAACATCATATTTTTCTATGTCAAAGAAAATAGACTATTGACCTACTATCGCAAATCGGGCTACTTAAGAGCAAATCAGTTGAAACACTAATTAAACAAAATCTTAAACTCTTTTAATGCTCAAATTCAGCAAGCATAGACAGAGGGATATATAAAAGGCTAGCAGGAAAATTAATTTATTTATCCCATATGCATGACTCACGAAAGCTTCATATGGATGTTGTTGAGAGGATTCTGAGATATTTGAAGTCCACGCCTGGAAAAGAATTTTGTTCTCAAATCATGGAAACTTAAAGCACTAGTACAAAAATAGCGTATAACGTCACGCATTCAACGTCCAATCACTGAATAACCAACGTTAAAAATGACTGTTGGCAGTTTTGTAAATAAATGCAATTATTAAACTTCGTTTAGAATTGTAATTCGACGTAAAAGGATATAAAACGTCCAATGCCACAGAGTTTGACGTCAAAAGGTTAGTGAATTCAATAAAAATTTGAGCGGGAGATTGAAAATTCATTCACTTTATCTTAGCGCGCGAGACACTCTTCTCTTCTCAAACTTTTCTCAAACGAAGTTTGACGACCATCACATGTAATCTTTCTTTCATTTGATACAAATGCATCTTAATTAACTACTTTATGTAAGATTTTTGTTTGCTTTGACCGATTATTTTCGTGCTCTTGTCCTTCATAGGCGCATTCTGCTTTCTATCTCACTAGTGATGAGACTTTATTCCAACGAACCCACCTTTTGAAGGATAGTTTTCGTTTTCGTTTTAAAGAACTTGTTTTTTGAACTTCTTGTTTTTTCTGTTGAACTTGTTTGTTGTTGTTGTTTGATTGTACTTGTTTGTTGTTGGTTATTGTTGTTTGTTGTTGGTTATTGTTGTTTGTTGTTGGTTATTGTTGTTTGTTGTTTATAATACATACACGTTCATAGTTCTTGCTTCATAAAATATCAAAAACTAAAATTTGTTATTTTTCTGCTTTTCAAGACTTGTAGAGTTGTAAAAAAGAATCACAATTAATTAAAAAAAAACAAAAACAAAATTGATTAATGTCGTATATTGACAAAATTCGACGTTAATTTAACGTCAAATTTTTTAAATCCGACGTCAATTTAACGTCAAATTTTTTAAACACGACGTCCATTTAACGTCTCCTGATATGATATTGTTCGCGAATTCGCAGTTAAAAGCCCAAAATATTTGATGTTGTACGCGATTATTCGGCGTTGTACGCGATTTTTGTACTAGTGAAGATAGAAGGGTATACAGATGCAGATTGGGCAAGTTCAAAAGATGAAAGAAGATCTACTTCAAGATACTTTACTTTTGTAGGAGGGAATCTTATAACTTGGAGGAATAAAAAATAGCCTGTAGATCTAGTACTGAAGCAGAATTTAGAGACATGACACTAAGTATATGTGAACTTTTGTGGATTAAAAATGTACTATCAAATTTGGGCTTTAAATCAAATGAAACTGAGTTTTTAATATGACAATACCTCGACTATAACAATTGCTCACAATCTTGTGCAACATGATAGAACAAAGCATGTGGAGATTTATAGACATTTCATCAAAGAGAAGCTTGAAGCTGGAATAATTTCCTTTCCCTTTCTAAGATTAGAATTGCAATTTTGATGTTTTGACCAAAGGAATGTCAAGCAAAGTATTTAATTAATCTCTATTCAAGTTGAGAATGTGTGATATTCGTGCACCAACATGAGTGGGGTGTTAAGAATGTTAAATATTTTGTTAGCTATAATTTAGATATTATTATAATTTGTACATATGTCATTCTTTAAATAAATAATAAATTATAGAATCTTGTATGTATATATATGATACATTAATTTGTGAAATAATACATCAAAATTATTTTTTAAACTTTTTTATACTATGCACATATATTATAACTCTAATTTAAAACATATAGCATAAAAGAATACTTTAAAATGCTAACCTGGATATTTATCCTTGGAAACCCTTTTTCATTACCTGAAGTAATGAAATATGCTAATACGTAACTATAACAAACTACAGTAATTTAATGATATGATTTACATTCCAGACGTCACCAATTAACGGTCTAATGATTGTTAATGTGAGGTTCTAATTTTTTTCAATCATTTAAAACATTTTACCTTGTGCAATTTCTTGAACAATTGCTGGAACGGGAATGCCAGAATATGAATCACCAGCAATGTAAACTTCGTTTGACACAAATTTTGGATGACCAATTAACCACTACAAACAATGAAGCATGATTGTGATTGACTAACAAATGTAGCTGCAAACACAAATAAAAACAAAGAAAAAACAAGGATTCTAAATAAAGAAACAAAATTTGGATGAATACCTTCCTCAGAAATTGATGGGCTTGACGAGCTAACAACGTTCCACTAGTTTGAGCAGCAAGTTCTGTTGTGGCATAAGTAAAGCCTGTGAAAACAGGCAAGTCTACATATATAATGTTACTAACCTACCAAGAGGACAAAAAACCATAAGAAAGACCGAATTTGAAAGCAGAAAATGTATTTTTCCTTTGTTAAATATATGAGGAGAAATGTTTTCTTTAGTGTAATTTGATGATAATGTAGACTAGCACCTTGTTCCATGATTGATTCCTGAAGATCAAGTTGGGTGGACCTCCATTGTACTCCTCCTGTTTTAATGCAAGTGGACCTGTATCACCCATACAGAGTAAACATTGTTTTTTTCTCATTCTAAGCGCAAAATGAAAAGGAAAATAAACGGTGTGTTACCTATTTCAAGAAAAAGGGCACTTAGGCCTGAGCAACCAGGGCCACCGGATAGCCAAAGCAGGAGAGGATCTTCCTTGGGGTTGTTATCTGACTCAATGAAGTAGTAAAATGTCTGCACATCCTCTGATTCTCCCACTCCCACATACCTTTCGTTTCATCAGTTTCAACCAAATGTTTTCCATCTCATAACCCAAAACTTAAACCATATATAGGATTAGTAGTTAGCAGCAAGGGTTTAACTTACCCAGTTTCAAGAACAAAAGGAAGGGGTCCCTCGAATCCTGGAAGGAACTTCACTCTGGAGGCACAAGAGGCTGGTTCAATAGAATAGTATGATAAAAGAAGTAGGAAAAGTAGAATACCACGGTCAACCAGATTTGAAGAAATGACACTTGACTTCAACTTTCCCATTTTCTATGCTCTTTTCTCAACCTTTTCTCTCATCACTTTCATGTTTTATAGCTTGAGCTAGCTTACAACTTTCCTGGTGAGCCGAGGATTGAGATAAGGACAGAAGTAAAAGCCACTCAATTTCAATCCGTATCCTATCATTGCATTCATGTGGGCTACGTGTGAATTCGATAAATCAAATCCAGTTTTTGGCCCAATCTAATGTTGCATTGCATGCCTAAAAGTTGGGTTCTTCAAAATTTTAGTCCATAAAATTTTTTTTACCTATTTTTCAGATTTTTTATTAGATTTTAGCTGTAGTGATTGAATTTGAAGGGTTTAATAATTGTGACTTTGGTATCTACGGTAATGCTGTATTAATTTCTGGGAGACGAAATCAGTCACTTAAGATATGCGGTATTGAATTGGACACCTATAACGGCATCTCTTACAAGATTTATTATAAGTTCTTACTTTTAATTGAGTTTCATGGTGTCAAGTTATTTTTAAGAGGATTTTTATAATTGTACTTTAATATAAGGGATTTATAACATTTATTATTTTATTAATATTTTATTTGATTATTGAAATAAATACATATTTTCTAAAAGGTAATTTCTTTTATGATTTAGAGTTTTATTTAAGACTTTGAATTTTAGTTTTAATATCATGTGAGCATATTTTAATAAAGTCGAATATACGTATGTTTTTACTTTCTCATAAACACTTCAAGTTATTTCACATTTTTAAATTAGAAAGTCTTTGATACTAGTCTTCCAAAAAAACAAAATAAAAAGAACGTGTCAACAAATATTCAAGTTAGCTAAATACATCGGATAACAATAGATGTATTAATAATGATGAAATAATGTATTAATTATTTTTCAATAGTGCTATTTATAGTAAATTATTAGGCCTGATTTGTAGAGATAATTATTAGAATAAAGGGCAGATTTGTAAAACACCATACTCAGACATTTACTCTCTCTTATTAAAAGTAGGGTTAAATATGTTTTTAGTCCCTAAACTATTGGCCGTTTCTGGTTTTCGTCCTTGTTTCAAAGTAAGGTACAATTTGGTCCTCATTCTTTTCGAAACGTTCGTTTTAGTCCTTGAAATTTTGGTTTTAGTCCTCATTTGTTGCTAAATGAGGACCAAAATTTTAAACAGTGTTTAGTTTTCGAGGACTAAAACGAACGTTTCGAAAAGAATGAGGACCAAATTGTACCTTACTTTAAAACAGGGACGAAAACCAGAAACGGCCAATAGTTTAGGGACTAAAAACATATTTAACCCTTAAAAGTAATATGTGCACGTGTTAGTGAGATAAAACAAAATGCAGAAAGAGAAGTCGAGAATCAGAGAGAAAGAAGGCACTCGAGCTCTGCTAGGGTTTCGACCCTCTTCCTCATATCACCACCACACACGGCGGAGCACCACCAAACACAGAATCAACTGGTCAAAAGCTTGCAAAGGCTAGGTATACTGTATAACTCTTCAAATTTTTATTAAAACATGAAATGAATGATACAATGTATATTTATACACAAAACCCACTACTGTAATAGAAAACAAACTCTATTTTGTTTATTTTTTAACACTCTCCTAAACAAAACGGTAACATAGAACATGATTCTGAAGAAAACAAAATTTTCAACCCTTTTCACCGATTGATCGGTGAAAGCTTCAATTTTTCCACTCCGATCTGCTTTCTAAGTTTTAGAAAGTGTTCCCCTTTCAGTGCTTTGGTGAGAATGTCTGCAATCTGGTCTTCAGATCTGCAGTACACCACCTCTAGCTTCTTTTTGCTGACTTGCTCTCTGATAAAATGAAATCGTGTCTCAATGTGTTTGCTCCTACCATGTGATGTAGGATGCTTAGTCAGGTCAATGGCTGACTTGTTGTCAACAAGCAGTCTGACCTTCCCTCTTCCTTCAATCTTCAGTTCCTTCATCAGTGAGTCAAGCCAGGCTGCTTGACAAGTGGCTTCACATGCCGCAATGTACTCTGCTTCACATGAAGACAGAGCTACAACAGGTTCCTTCGTAGAGCTCCAGGAAATAGGAGCCCCATCAAAGTAGAACACATACCCTGCTGTACTCTTCCTATCACCCTTGTCTCCACACCAATCCGAGTCTGAGTAAGCAGTCACTCTTACCTCTCCTCCTGATCCGTGTTTCGGCAGCAAAATTCCATACTCAGTGGTACCTTTTAGATACCTTAGAATTCTTTTGACAGCATTAAGATGAGAAACTCTGGGATTCTGCATGAATCTGCTGACCAAACCCACACTATAGCTAATATCAGGCCTTGTATTGCACAAGTATCTTAGGCTCCCAACCATTCTTCTATATTCAGTAGGATCAGCAGCTTCTTCCTCAGGATCTTTCTCAAGTTTTATGCCAACCTCTGCTGGAGTAATACCAGAGTTGCACTGAAGCATGTTAAACCTAGTTAACATGTTCAGAACGTATCTGGACTGATGCATCATCATACCCGTATCAGTTGTAGTGAACTCAATCCCAAGAAAGTAACTAAATTTACCCAAGTCACTCATTTCAACTCTTGTAGCATCTGGGCTTTGAAGTTGGTAATTCTTTCATCACTGTTCCCTGTAACCAGCATATCATCCACATACAGGCACACAATCACCATATCTTCTTTGTCTTTCTTCTCATAACACTGAACATACACTCCATGTTCAGACACACACTTTTCAAAACCAATGTTGCTCATGAACCCATCTATCTTTTCGTTCCAAGCCCTTGGAGCCTGCTTAAGCCCATATAGAGCCTTCTTCAACTTGTATACCTTGTCAATGTGCCTCTTGACTTCAAAACCTTGAGGTTGGACAACATAAACTTCCTCTTCCAGATCTCCATTCAAAAAGGCAGACTTTACATCTAATTGATGTAAAGCCCAATTGTTTTGTACAGCAACTGAAACCACTAATCTCACTGTCTCCAATCTGGCCACAGGTGCAAACACCTCTCCATAATCAATTCCAGCTTGCTGCAAAAAACCTTTAGCCACCAACCTGGCCTTGTATCTTGTCACAACCCCTTGAGGGTTTATTTTGGACTTGTAAATCCATTTTAGTGCTATGGGTCTCTTGTTAGGAGGTAATTCTGTCAGCTCCCAAGTCTGGTTCTTCATAATTGACCCAATTTCTTCCTGCATAGCTTTGTTCCATCTCTCATCCTTCACTGCCTGCTCAAAGTTAATTGGTTCAGCTTCTGCTATTAAGGCAAAGTGAACAAAATTACCTTCTGATGAGATAGTTGCATCATATGCTAGGTCATAGTCTCTCAAATGAGTTGGCAATTGTGTAACCCGAGAAGACCTCCTAACACTCTCCTCCCTCCTGTATGCCTCTGATTCTGCTGCAGGTTCACTCTCCAACTCAATGGTTGGTTTTTCTTTTTCTTTCACTTCCCACTACCACTCTCCAGTTTCATCAACCTTCACATCCCTGTTGACTGAAGCAGTACCTGTTACAGGGTCATATAACTTGTATCCTCCTGTAACATGATACCCAATCAGACTTAATGGAATTCCTCTATCATCCAGCTTTTTTCTCAACTGTTATGGAACATGTTTATAGCATAGGGACCCAAACACTTTCAGATGCTTCACATCTGGCTTCACTCCTGACCAAGCCTCATCTGGTGTGACACCATTAAGTCTCTTTGTTGGAGACAAATTTAATACATAGGTGGCTGTCATCACAGCCTCACCCCATAAGAAGCTAGGCAACCCCTTACTTTTCAACATGCACCTTACCATGTTTAGAATTGTTCTATTTTTCCTCTCTGCTGCCCTATTGTGCTGAGGTGTGTAGGGAGGAGTAACTTCATGAACAATTCCTTCTTTTCCACAATAATCTCTGAAATCAGTGGAGATATATTATCCTCCTCCATCTGTTCTCAGTATCTTCAATCTTTTTCCACTCTGCCTTTCCACCATATTCTTGAATTGTTGAAAATGTTGCAGCACTTCCCCTTTTCTCTTCAAGAGATAAACCCAACATTTTTTGGTTCAATCATCTAAAAATAGTAGAAAATACCTGCTGTCACCAGATGTTTCTACTTGCATAGGGCCACAAACATCTGAATATATCACTCCTATTTTCTCTGTAGATTTATGGGTAAGAACCTTTGAAAACTGCCACGGGCCTGCTTGCATTGAACACATTCTCTGCAAACAGTTCTGGGAATGTCCACCTTTGATAAGCCAATCACCAATTTCTTCTGACTTAACATAGATAAATCTTTGAAATTCAGATGCCCAAATCTGAGATGCCACATCCACTCATTTTCCTCCTCTGCTACAGTAAAACAGTGATGGTTTACTGCCTCCATCACCAATTTAAATGTTCTGTTTTGTGATAGTTCAGCCTGTATCACCTCTTTTCCCTCTTGATTGAATATGCTCAGGCCATTGTTTTCCATTTTCATCACATAGCCCTTTTGAAGTAGTTGTCCAAGACTAAGTAAATTAGTCTTTAACCCAGGTACATACAGTACCTCTTCAATGACCACTTCTCTACCATCTTCACCCCTCAATGCTACTCTGCCAGAGCATTCTGCCTCCAAACTGCTGTTATCAGCAAATTTGATCTTTCTATTCTTCACTCTCTGCACTCTCACAAACCAGTCTTTTCTTTCAGTCATGTGAGTTGAACAGCCAGAGTCAAGGTACCACACAGTGTTTTTTGGTTGCTTCTCATCATCATAGGCCAACAAAATCACTGCCTCTGAATCTGATTCTTCTTGGACCAGATTAGCCCTCTTAGGTTTATTCTTGGCCCCTTCACCTTTCCAGCACTCCTTTGCATAGTGACCCAACTTCTGGCAGTTATAGTGTTTCACCTTTTTCTTATCAAACTTCCATTCTCCATCAGCATTCTTTGTTTTCTTTTCTTTTCCAGATTCAGTGAACTCTTCTCCTTGCTGGTCCAGAGAATCTTTTCCTTTCTTACCTCCTTTTTCGTCTTTCTTGAAACCCTTTTTTACCTCTCCAATGTGATATGGCCTGCAGGGCCTGTTCCTG